AACACACAAACCATTCACAATTGCTAAATTGGGCTAAAATAGAAGGCTCAGAGTGATACTAAATAAAGAGCCATTTGGGAGCTGTAAGATCCGGCTCTTCTAAGGGAGCCGAGCCAAAAGAGCCAAACTTCCCATCACTAGAGCGGGGCGCTGCTTTGTGTACAGCCATTACTGGGGAAACCGCTATCTCTCCAGCTTTACAAGCGCCTCCTGCTGGCAGAGAATGATTTTGCATATATATGCAGGTTTTCAAAAGCCCTTTAAAATTAAATATGTACACAGTAGGGGTGGAACGGTTCAACTTACGGTTCGGTTTGTATCACGGTTTTAGGGTCACGGTTTCGGTACGGTTCGGTATGTGCTATGTTTAGGGAAAAACTATATTGTCAAATAAAAATAAAGAAAGTAAGAACAGAGTGAATTCTTTGTTGTTGCTGTTAGATTAATAGTGCTGTCGCTTTAAGAGAATGCACTGATCCAGTGCACTGATACAGTGCGTTCAGCCGGCTATATCTGCTATAGGATACTTACCAAGACGGGCATTTTGACATAATTTTGTGTGAATTTGTCCATTTAAACACAATACTTCACAGAGAGCTGAATTATCTAGCTTGCGTGACTGTGGGGGTTGTGCGCCGGCACGGCTCCAGCGCGGATGGATCTAATGTTCTGGAGAGTATGTGTGGCAGTCAGTCACCGCACTGGTGTGGATATTTACTGTACTTTGCAATCACAGATTCTAGCCTACGTCTTGGAATATGACCCAAATAAGACAGAATTTTCACCGTATATTGCCATCTGAATAAGTAAGTAACAAGTCTGCCACGTTTGTTCTGAACCAACTGAGGAAAAAAGCATTACCATAAATCTCGCTACCAATCGTGATTAAATCTAAAGATCGGTTAGCTCATATCACATCAAACCGTTCAAATTATTATTATTGTTATACTTTATTCTCAAATGATTAATGTTAACAACATCAGCATTGGTGACTGTGAATAGAGTGTGTATTAGTGTGTAGATTTCAATTTCTGCACAGTCTAATCTAATTGTCATACTCTTCGAATTTCATATTAAGAAATTCTTTTAACCCAAAAAGCAAATTATGCTCCCTTCGAACTGGTTTTCTTTAAAATACAAATCTTTGTAATCCCAGGCTATCTGTAATCAGAAGCACATTTATAACTGGAATATAATTTAATTTCATTCACATGTGTTTCATAAACACATAATCCTTTATGGATTACAATCCGCCATCAAAATGATACATTTAATTATTCTGGCTGCTCTGAGAAAAGGCTATAAACGGTCCTCCACCTGCAGGATCCTCACATGCGATAGCCTAGTAGCCGGGACAACTTCTTTATGTTTACAGACGTGACGTAATGACGCAGTGCCATGTTCGAATTTCCCGCGAAACCCTACCTGTACCACTCAAATTAGAAAACATTATTATAAGCTAACCGTTGTGAATCGGGCTAAAGTGAGTCGATAGTTTTGAACACTGGCTGGTTATGTACTTGCTCAAATATTGATTTCGGATCATTTTTAACCAAAAAAAAGTTACGGACTGCAGCTTTAATATCCTAATGATTTTTTACATTAAAAAAAAAATCTATAATTTTGACCCATACAATGTATTTTGGGCTATTACTACAAATATACCCATGTTACTTATAACTGGTTTTGTGGTCCAGGGTCACATATGTCAATAGACGGTGTCATTGACACAAACCGTGTCACTTTTAAGGATTGTTTGTTATGGGCAAAATCTTTGTCATTAAAAAGAACATTTTTCAGTTTTTTTCTCTCCATGATACATTCTGTAGAATTAGATTATTTCCTTGTTTCCTCAATGTTGTGCAAAACTCGTATGGCAGGCTTTCTTCCTTGGAACACAAAAGTAGAGGTTAGGCAGAATGAGTCTCAGTTACCTTTCATTTTTTTATAGTATAGAAAAAAAGATAATAAAAATGAAATTGTCAGGGTAACTTTCTACCTAACATCTCTTTGTGCTGTACAAAAAAAAAGTTTGGAACAACATGAGGGTGATTAAATGAAGACAGTGTTGGGTGAAATGTTGTCCTAAACGAAACTGAAAATAGTAGGCCTATATTCTTATTGGCAGCTAAAAGCATCAGATTGGCCAAAAATATTTAAAGAGATAGTTCTCCCAAAAATTTAAATTCAGTCATTAATTGCTCACCCTCATGTCGTTCCAAACCTGTAAGACCTTTGTTCGTCTTGGGAACACAAAGTAAGAAATTTTTGATGAAATCGGAGAGCTTTCTGACCCTGCATAGACAGCAACGTAACTACCATGTTCAAGGCCCAGAAAGGCAGCAAGGACATCGTTAAAATAAGTCGATGTGACATCAGTGGTTTAACCGTAATTTTATGAAGCTACGAGAAAACTTTTTGTGCGCAATGAAAAAAATACACTCTCGTGAACGAAGACTGACACGGAAGAGAAGAAATTGTTGAACAAAATGATTATTTTTTTCTTTTGCACTAAAAAGTATTCTCATATTTTCATAAAATTAAGGTTGAACCACTAATGTCATGTGGACATGGACACAATGATGTCCTTGCTACCTTTCTGGACCTTGAATGTGGTAGTTCCGTTGCTGTCTATGCAGAGTCAGAAAGCTCTCAGATTTCATCAAAAATATCTTAATGAAATCTGATGTATCTATCTGGCATACGTCACCAGAGAGAAGTCTGTTGTTTTCACTGGACATACATGTAATGTTTTGATTACACTACGAAGTCAAAAAAACACATGAAACAAATGTATAAACAGATGAATTGTTTACTAAGGTCTATAATATGCATTTAGAAAATAGATAGTTTTCCTCATTCCAGACACATTTGGTATCTCTGTTACCTCATTCAGTACTGTTAGAAAAGCAGCAGAACATGTTTAAATGATTCTTCATCTCTGCTTTCCAGCATAGGCCTGAAATCAATGAAATATGCATGCAACCCTCTAAGATATGCATGCATTATTAATTCAATATAATTTAAGGTTCTGAGCAGGGAGTGATTTCAGTGTCCCTTTGGAATACTTTGTGCATTTGCCACAGTGGTTTAGACATTCTGTACTTTCTGTACAAAAGTTTAATTTTTATACTCTAAAATAGACCACTGAATCTGTTTGCTCTGGGGACAGGGACTCTTTGTTATAACGGTAGTGCTTAGAGGAAGACAGTGTGATTCAAATGATTTGAAAAGCTCTGAGATGTCATATGTCTGGGCTCCAGGCAATCAAACAAATTGTACACCATTGCTATAACCCACACTTTGATGGGACAACTGAGGCCTGTGTGTGAGACATTAAATCTATAAGTCATTTGCTTTGATCAATCTATCTTCGTAACTATCAGTTAAACTTATGGTTTGGCCAAATGTATAGCCTCCTTTTGCTCAAAGAGTACTGTGAATGAAGTCATGTGCTTTAGAGCCACTTAGGGTCATAATCTAAGCAAGCCATTGCCAGAGAAAACAATGTTTGACAGCAGATGTTGACAAGATAATTGCTTCTCTCACAGTGTTTGCCTGTTTTTCCCCTTTCCTCTCAGGTTGGCATAGCGATGTGTAGTCGCTTGCGAAGTGAGGCGGGGCCGCCAGCCTCTGTCTCTTCCCAGGCTGCCCTTGCTGGGCAAGACAACAGGAGAGGTTTGTCAACTGTTACCTTACACTTCGAACATCATCATGAGCATGTTTGCGTGATTACTTATGTTAATGTTTATCTCTCAGCAGAGATATCTCATGTCTGGAATAGTCTAAATCAAACCAAAGCTGCCGTGAGTATTTTCTAACACGTTTCAGGTTCTGGCCTACTTATGATGCCAAAACAGATATCTGTTACATACATAATAGTTCTGAAGAAGCCCAATTATAAGAAATCAGAAAGTAAGATTCAGAGGTATACTCTGTAGGTTTAGTATTTGTAGCATTATCCCCATGAGTGCAGAGATCTGTTGACTCAATGGCTAATTGTGGTCTTGTCTTAGTTGCGACACATTGAGAATCGTCTGGAGGCAGCGCCAGGCACTGGAGTGCTTCTGGACTCAGTGCTTGACACAAATAAAGCATCTGTGAGTGGCGGTCGGAAAATAAGCCGCAGAGGTGAGACAGACACATCCTCTGTAACACATACAGAGGCAATCCATTAGAGACTATTGTACATCCCTAAGCTAGGTGTTTTTAATGTCACCTTATATAGTATTGTACCAGGTCGCTATGAAACATAGTGGAATGTTTTAAATGGAATATCTTTTTAACTTGTCAAAGCAGGGGTTTTTTTTATTTAATATGTGGTCAGAATTGTATTTTTTGTATGTTTTAAAAAGATTTTTAAAATGTATTAAGTTGAATTGAATTGAATTAATTATTTTGTATATTTTTTTTATACTTTTCTTTTTATTAATGAAGTTTCATGAATATTTAGTGCGAACACTTTTCTTGCTGCATTAAAAGTCAGATATGACTGAAAGTATAGGCTTGAAAGTCATATGTTAATTTAGTAACAGCTCTGTGAGTTTTGAGTGATTCATCAAAAAACTGACTCATGAGTCATTCGTCATTTGTGAATTGGACAACACTAGTTGCTGTGTTTGTTTTTGAGCCAGTCAAGGTGACGAGACATTAATGTGTTTACATTAATGTTTCTAATTCTTCTACAGTAATGTGGAATAGAAAATATTACACACACACACACACATACAGTGTA